ATGCATCCACAAAGTCAAGAACTCCACCATCATCATCAGAAGTAGTTGTTCCTATATAATTAATTATTTTGTCTGAGTTTATTGTTTTGTTTAAGAAACTCCAACTGCTAATGTTTCACAATGATAAAGATTTAATAAAAATATTAATGTTATAAACAACATAAACAACTACCAAGACCAAGTAAAAAAGGAAAAAATAGTTTCATATTGGGTCCAATCGTGATCCTCCCTGCATCACTATCTCTTCTTGCATCTAATTCCTTAAGTATCAGTAAATATATGTACAACATCTATGCATTACAAAAGGAAAAAGTTATATAATTAACTTGAAACCATTAACTTCAATTATGGACAAGAATGGAAGCAAAGCGAATGAAGATTAACACTTACATCCCTAATACATGAATCTATACCCCTTAAACTGTTACATAAAACCTTAGGACAGGTATTAGCAACATGTCCAGTCAAATAATAAATTTGACAAATAGATTGTGAATTAAGTTCTTGCCCAAAATTAAGACAACTCCTTGTTGGATTTGGCTAAGAACGATACTATGGAGGCAAAACATAGAACTAGTTAGTTCTTTAAAGATTAGATAAACTAAATCTCACTAGAACTAGAATACCAAACACTAACTCAAGTAAAATTATAATTCTAGGTGATTCTATATAATGTCGTATAAATACCCTAATTAGACTTAGGAAAGGGGATTATGATTATTTTTCTTCATTCTCTCTTTATTGTAAGCTCTCTCCATTCTTGATGAATAAAGTACCTGGTTTCACACCATCTCTTCTATTTTTCAGTGTTGACAAGACTCTATGACATTTAGAATCTGTTAGATTGCTTCTAATGATCGATACATATCTCTTTTCTTCGGGTATTAGACGAGATGTTAATGTTTTGATATTTCTTGACATCAGAAAAGCTCTGGAAGGTACGATACCAATTGCTATCCTTAAACTTCTTTCTGGTCTAAAGCAAATGAACTTGCTTCAATGCAAATATTTACTCAATGCTGGAATAATAAAGAAATGAATGTGAACTAATTCCTACTTTCCGTTTTCGCTTACATTCTCCAAAATCAGAGGGAACGAAGAAGATTTACATTTCAGACAACAAGGTGATCTTGACTGAAGGTTCTGGTGGTGTCGTCCCTGTCAAGTTCTTTGAGAAGATTTAATCATGGCCTGAGAGAAGACCTATACCTTTGCAAATCTAGATCACATCATATATTTTCATTTTGATGGTGTTGTACAGATAGAAGATTGAATCATGGCCCGATGGGTTCTGGTTTGAATCCTGTACCGATAATGTAGTTGTTTCATCTCCTATTGGGTGTCATGATTATCAAAAGTTTATTTCGAAATGTATGTTTGTGGTATGGCCAAGAGAAAATGTATGTTTGTGGTAATGATTTAATAATATGGTCGATGACATTTTTTCTTTTTGGAATATTTTGGGACAGCTTGCACCTAACCGAATT